ACATCGGTAATAGAGGTAGCATCGGACTTGCTGATGCTCTCGATGCTGGCAGTGGTATCAGTCTTGTTAGACGCGGATGCGGCTCCGAGAGTCTGTAATTTGACCAGCTCAGAGTAAGGTCCATTGGCAGCCATCAACTCCGAGTGAGTTCCCTCTTCCAAGATATCTCCCTTGTGCATACAGACAATCTTATCCGCATTTGTGATTGTTGACAGACGATGAGCGATAGTGATGACAGTTCGACCGGTTGAGATGTTGTTGATAGCCCGCTGGATACGCTGTTCACTGCGTGAATCCAGAGCAGCGGTGGCTTCGTCCAAAATGAGAACCGCGGGATCCTTGACAAGGGCACGCGCAAGAGAGACTCGTTGCTTTTGACCACCACTGATGAGTCGACCACTAGAGCCAACCATCGTGGCGTACCCATACTGCAATGCCTCGATAAAGCCATCTGCATCGGCAAGCGCAGCAGCCTGCCGGGCCAATTTAACAATTTCGACGATTTCTGGACCCCGTCTCTCTGCTGCGGTCATAAGATCCTGACCATCTCTGACTTCGGTGGCTAGATCAGAGAGGTCGGTTCCGAGGAGTGCCTCCTTCAGGTGTGCATGGGCTGGTTTGCTTGAGTTTACCAAGCCGTGTGCGATGTTCTCCAAAAGGGATCGATCGAGAAGGGAGGGCTCTTGCTGCACAAGACTGAGGAATCCTCTCAGGTCACGGGTGTTGACGTCGCGGATATTCTGGCCATCGAAAGTGATCTCACCTTCAGTGGCATCATACAAACGGATAACCAATCCTGCGATGGTGGACTTTCCACTTCCAGAAAGACCAACAATGGCTGTGTGCTTCTTGGGAGCAATAGAGAGATTGATCTTGTTAAGAACGGTGATCTCGGGCCTGGAGGGGTAAATGAAAGAGACGTCCTTGAACTCAAATCCACCCTCCGCCTGAGTGAGGCGAATGCCCGCATCAGAGTATCCATCAATCAAGGATTGACGATCGATATCGTCACGCAGCTTATGGTAACAAGCAACAGCCTGTGTAAACAAGTGGATGAAAGGTGCAACTTGACTCAGAAGCAGGGTAGCTGTTATTAACGTTAGTAAAATATTCCACAGCATGATACCAATCAAACTGACCTTCAACCAAGACGAAGATAACAGTGAAAACAGATCCGACAGTGGCACCCGCCGACTCAGTGCGCACTGCCGCGGCGATCTGCTTACTTCCTTGCCAGAATGCAAGACCGTTCGCACCATATGCGACGAAGTACAAGACACCGGCTTGAATACCAGTGGCGGTAGCCTTTTTCAATCCTTCAGTTTCGGAATCCTTTAGTGCCTTGGAGAACTTCTCCTCCAGACGACCATTTGCACCAAAGGCGTGCACCACAACAATGTTGTTAAGCGCCTCGGAAGCAATCGACGCAGCGGAAGCGGCATAATCCGACATGCGCCCGGTGTATTTCTCGATATAGTAACTTCCAACAAAGGACATAATGAAGTATGCAGGGATCAAGGAAAGCAACATCGCGGCGAGAATGGAGTCTTTGATAAATGCAACAACGTATGCGGTGACGAAAAAGGAGAAACTCGAGATACAGATTCCGACCTTCTCAGCAGTACCGGAGCGAATTGTTTGGATATCGGTGTTGAGTCGAGAGGCAACTTCTCCGGCGGGCAGGTTATCAAAGAAAGAGGGTTCTTGTCGGAGCAGGTTCTGGAGATATTTTTCGCGGAGTCGCTGCGCCAGGCGCGCACCGGTCATAGTCCAGCATAGTAGGTGAAGGTAAATTAAAACGAATTGAGCAATACCCAGGTACACGATCAGCAGAATTTTGCTATTAATGTCGGATTGATCGCTAGAGTCCCCCGTCGAGGAACCACCAGTTTCCTCGCATGTCACTGAGTTGAAATCATCGATCAGTTGGCCGAATATGATACCAATGATGGGGAAAGGGACACCCGATGCAATTGAAGACGCCAGGCCAACAAAGAGGGTTCCCAATTCGAGTCGCGAGGGATTAGCAGCCACAAGCAGCCTAGGATAGTCTGCAAGGTTCCCGAAACCCATGGTGGCTCGAAAATGGCGTTCAACACTGGGATTGTCGTTTGAGTGTTGAAGAAGCTAAGTTCTCACAAGCGATCAATTTATCGCTTTGCTAGTTTTAAAGTGGCGTCACCATGAAAATTGCACCCACTTCTTAGCGTGAATCCATTCGGTGAAGCGACTTTAGCTGGGTTGCGACTAAGACCCAAAGAAAGATGTATGCCAAGTGTGAGGATGGAAATTTCCAGGGGATTTCCGGATGTTTAACATGCCGATCTGATTTTTCAATCAGCCGACATCGGTTTTGACAGTTGATCCAAAGATGCAACCCACAAGGGGGGCAGCATGAAGAATTTCAATTATACGGACGGGGGTTATCAGATCAAAATGGGGGACTGTACCGTGGTTCCCCACTACCGTCCATACGTGTATGTTCGGGTAGATACAGTTGTATTAAAGACGTCATTTCCACCGGATTGTATTTTACATCCGCAGAAGATACACTATATTTTTCTTTAAAAGAAATGCGGAAAACTTTTGCTATCTTTTGCTGGCTGTGGCGGATAGATGGGAAATTAAAAACCTCAAGTAATCATCTCCAAACTCTTTCTCCGCGCTAGCAATATTGACCGACGTCCTAGGTATTAATTAATATTTCGTTTCAGTGTTAGCGTTATGAATATTGATTGATAACTTGTATACTAAGCGTACGTAAAGAATATTCTATAAGAACAAATGCAGTATACGAAGTACACAAAATTTTTATTATTATTCCAATGTTATTTATTACATACAATACACAAAATTAGGTGGGTCTCGTCACACATGCAATTTAAAAAAAAAACCCCTCCGAAAGATTATCTGATTGATTGGGGCAAAGCGGAGTAGACAACGCGTTGCTGGGAGGAACTGACCCAACAAGGAAGCTCGATTATGGAGCGACACGAGTTAACCCCACTTGTCTCGGGGTGATGACGGCAAATAAAAAAAAAAATATGGCGTGAAATTTTGTACATTGAATATTGTAGTTTTGCCGATCAGGGACAAGAAATAGTCAAGAAAACACAAGCAATTTACAGTTTGGCATTCCATGCGGCGCGATCTGCAGATTCCAAAGGTCGCTCACGACCATCCCAGAATAGAGGACACAACTGGAACCACTTTTCACGACTGCAAATCGAGTGCACCGATCGCTTATGTCCGAGATCGACGTACTTGCCAATTGTGAGTCCTTGCGCGTTTTCGTAGGACAAGATAGTTGCGCCGGTAGCCTTGGGCTCGCCGACAGCATTGGCGGTCCGGGGATCGTCCAAGAAGACATAGTGGATGCAGCTCGAGTACCAGGCATTCACGCGGTGTGCGCCTCGGAAGCTGGCGTCGCCGACGAGAGAGTGACGGCCGCGATCATAGTCTCCAGCATCGTAGTGGGCGCCGTAATGATCCTCCTGTAGACAAGGTGTTAGTATAAATTTCCGACTAAAGCGCGACCTATTAGGGGGATTTACCTTTGACCAGTACAACTCATAGTACGAGAAGCGGGTATCATCGAAGCGTCCGAACAAGCACAGCACATGGGGATCAAAGTGCAGCTTGCGCAGGTACTCGGTGTGCTGCTCAATAGTTCCGGTCTCATTCCAGCCTGCAGCAACACGCGGGTCATTTTGCCACTTATTAAACAGTTGGACGTGCTCCGCACTTTCCCAGTCAACAACTTCGAGGGAGAAGTGCTCGTTGATCTCTGGGATGTAGCGACTGTAGGCAATGGATCCGGGGTGCGGCTTGGGGCGGCGAGTCGGGTGGCGGGTATATACAGGCTCCTCGGGGAACTTGTTTGTCATTTGGTAGTTCTCCGGCATGATAGGATACTGAGACAATGGCTCCCGCATGGGGCCGTCTGTACCATCTCCCACCACCCAGATGGGACGAGGGCCCAGTGGAGAAGCAGCACCTTGCCAGAAGGCGCTTCGGAGGATCAGCAAATCATCGAATTGCAGAGCCTTATTTTCTCTGTCCCGCAGGTTTCTTGGGTGCTTGATTGCCAATCCGGTGGTAAGAAGCTCGTTGTAGATGACTTCTTGCCCTGTACCGGACAGAGTCAGTCTGAAGTACTCGATTGTTGGGTGACCAAGGTAAATAGCGTGGATCACATTCCAAATCTGGCCCAAAGAAGGGGCGCTGTTCCCTGACCACTGGAAGACAGTCTGGGGACTGCGACGCGCGCGACCCCAGGGAGTGTTATCTGAGATAGGTGGCTGCTCAGCCTTGGGAATGAATGTCAAGTCAAGCCATGAAAGAGAGTCTGAGTGTAGCTGTTCAGGTAAAGACCGGCCCTTTGCGGGCTGTTCATCAAGTGTCAAGTTGTGCTTAGCCGGTGTCGATTCGGCGACGGTGTTCACACGGTACGCGGTCAGATAAGGGTGTGGTAACTTGACCAAAGGATACTGGTGTGATTTTGAGGCCATTGTAGATTTCTCGATCGTCAATGGTAGGATCAAAAATTGCGAAGGAATTGGAGTTTCGGAGTAAGAAGAAAAAAAAGCGAGCTCCCCGCCTTGCACAATCAGATTATATGTAGGTAAGACCCTAAAAGGGTTAATGATGATCAAGCAAGGGTATAGTAACCGAGGTCGAATCCTTCCTCATATATAGCAAGTCCTAAAGCGGAATTTTTATTTCGGAGATCGCCCTATGGGTCTGTTATTTTCAAATATGTATGGAGCACGGAGTACAATGTTGTATGTATGATATTGTATGTTTGTACAGACAACATACATACCGATATCGCCTTGTTCTGGTAAGTTCCGAGGTTCCGTGGAAGCGTTCTGCGACCGAGCTTCCCCCTACGAATGACAATACATAATCCTTGGCCTGGCCCAAGAGGAAAAATATAAAGTCGAAGACTAAAGTTGAATTAGTCACAATACACTGCATATTCTGCTTCACAATTCATCATGTCTTTACGATCAGGACCCTTGAATCATGAGAATTTCTTTATCTCTTTCCCGCATGAGCGGGTTGTCCAGGTCACAATCAATAGACCACAGAAGCTAAATTGCATCGACAAAACTACAAGTCGAGAGATTGCCAAGATCTGGGACCAGTTTGATGAAGATGAAAGCTTATGGGTCGCCATAATCACCGGTGTCGGCCGAGCCTTCTGTACAGGGGCTGATCTAGGGGGTGGGTTTCTTCTCTTCTACCACTAAGGATGTCAAAGACAAATACTGACTCTGAAGTGAACAGAATGGAACGCTATGAACAAAGCTGGTGTCGTCAATGATATGTCCGCACCGGGCCTTGCCGGGTTACCTCGCCGGACCGGCAAGAAACCGATCATTGCCGCTGTAAACGGCATTTGCATGGGTGGAGGGTTCGAGATGGTGGCGAATTGCGATCTTATCTTAGCCTCATCCTCAGCCATTTTCTCCCTTCCGGAAGTGAAGCGTGGAATCGTACCAGTTGCCGGATGTTTGCCGCGATTGACCCGCACCATTGGGCTGCAACGCACGATGGATCTCGTGCTCACTGGCAGGAACGTGAGCGCCACCACATTACATGACTGGGGTCTAATCAGTCAAGTGGTGGATTCACCGGCCGATGTTGTCCGAGCAGCAGTCGAGGTTGCCGAGGTCATGTGCAAAAATAGCCCCGATTCCCTTATTGTTGGCCGTCTGGGCGTTCGGATGAGCTGGGAAGCTGGCAGTGTAGAGGATACTGTATCAGATCTGGCGGATCAGTGGTATCCTCGGTTGGTTGGGGGTCCTAACTTTGCCGAAGGCATCCAGGCGTTTGTGGAGAAACGGTCACCAAGCTGGAAGAATTCGAAATTGTGAGAGGGAAAGAAAAGTCCACATTACTCCGTAATCAGATTGGTGGCGCAACTAGTTTCTACTGTCGGATGGCGGTGCCATGGTTGATAGTGGGACATGTACTTATCTGATTAATGTACTCCGTAATGCCACGTAATTTATTTGTTTTTCTTTGAATCTTGGAATTTTTGGGTGGAAAACAGAATGTACGTGGTAAGCACTCTAAAGTAGAGAAAGAGGTGTACATTAACCAGAATATGCATAGAAACATCTGTTCTATATCTTATACATGGAGAAGTCTACCACTAGTCTAGATGTTCTAAACAGGAAATCTCTTATCTGTTTCGTCAAAATCCGTATAATACCACATCCACACATCTTCTATGCCTCTAGGTCCTACGAAGTACAATAATATACCCACTGGCAGTTCGTATATTGTACGATGTACGGAGTACAACGGGGTGAATCCGCACGGATCTCGCACGTTTAGCAGCTTTTAGTGCTGGCCACGACGCCTAGACACACACTGACCCAATCTAATTCATTAATATTTGTATTTTCTTATTTCTTTTTCCGGCTCTCGTCGCGGTGGGATAATTCCACCATGGGCGCCAAGATATGCCAAGCTCGCCCCACGTATTAATTGCCTCAATCGGAGGCATTCACGAGCTGCTTGGAGCTTCAAGTGGTTCCATCGCCGGTTAACATTGCCTTAACTGCATCTATCTGATATGAATGCCATTATTCATGTAATCTGATTAGATTCTGTCTTCGGAATGTCCCATTCTGGCCAATGCTCCAAGCGGGCTACCCACACATGGCCTGCCCAAGAAAAGCCCTATGGGGGAGAAAAACATGTCGGCTACTTGATTATTACCCAACGAATGAACACTTGGACATCGCCAAGACTTTTCTTACTGGTTGATTTTTCACCTTGTGGCTTGCATTAACCTTCCGAGTTCGGTATTATTTTTTTTATTAAGCGCTAGATCTGGAGTGCTGATAACCAGAGATTATATTTACTATAAGGGCAAGGATTTCCCTTGGGCTCTGTGGCTTTCCTGAGTTCCACCAACCTACTTTTTATATTTCCAGATCTCCAGGCCATCATGGGTTTGTGGTTTGTTCGAAATTCCTCCCGGCGGTCATTGCCCCAGGATGCAATTACTGAAGTCGATGTGCCCACTGATGGCGAAAAAAAGAACGAAATTCCCACCGGGGCCGGTGTCTTGCCTAACAAGGAAGACGTTGAAGTTCCTACCGAAGATCTACAGCAGGGTGTCAAAAATGTCGAGGCCGTGACTTTGAGCTGGACGAGGACCATGCTGATTGCGGTCTTTGTAAAGTAAGCTCTTGTCTGCCTACCTCGATGGGGCAATCAACCTGTGCAAGCCGGATTGTTCACTAACATATATCTTCAATAGCATCTGGTTCTTATACTTCGTTAATGCTATGCAATCCTCGATCAACTACAGTTTGCTCAGCTATGTCACCAGTGACTTCGAGAGCCACTCCCTACTGAATGTCATCTACATTGTTGCAGACGCCATGACAGCCGCAGTGTACATCCCCACTGCCAAGGTTATGGACGTTTGGGGCCGTGCAGAAGGCTTCCTAGCCATGACCGTATTTGCTACGCTCGGTCTGGTTCTCATGGCTGTGTGCCACAACCTTCCCACATTCTGCGCTGCCTACGTCTTCTACAGCATTGGATTTGGAGGTATGACATACTGCGTGGATGTCATCACCGCTGATATTTCCAAGCTCAAGAACCGAGGTTTGGCTTACGCTTTCACCTCCTCGCCATACATCATCACAGCGTTCGCTGGCCCCAAGGCTGCGGAGGGCTTCTACGAAGACATCAGCTGGCGATGGGCCTTTGGTGCATTCTCCATCATCTTCCCCATTGTTGCCTCCCCTCTTTACTTCATCCTGAAGGCCAATCTGAAGAAGGCCGAGAAGAATGGTCTCATTCTCAAAGAGCCTAGCGGCCGGACTTTCCTCCAAAGCATTTGGCACTATACCAAGGAGTTTGATTGTGAGTAAAGAGCTTTCCAAATCGTTTCACCTGGCAGAATACTAACTTGCACAGTGTTTGGTGTTTTGGTATTCTCTATCGGCCTTACAATCTTCCTCCTACCATTCAGCATTTCTACTTATGCTCCTAACGGCTGGGCATCAGGCTACATCATTGCGATGATCGTTCTCGGATTTGTTATGCTTGGCGTCTTCCTCATTTGGGAGTTCCGCTTTGCTCCCACCCCGATGTTCAACTTCAGTCTGTTGACTGATCGAACCATCATTGGTGCATGCTTGCTCGACGCGACATACCAGCTTTCTTACTACTGCTGGAACAACTACTATACATCCTTTTTGCAGGTAGTCAATGACCTCAGCATCTCCGAGGCTGGTTACGTTAGCAATACTTTCGACGTTGTCTCCGGCTTCCTTTTGCTTGGAGTCGGTTATATCATTCGCAGGACTGGTCGCTTCAAGTGGACTCTCTACATTGCGGTCCCGCTGTACATCTTTGCCCAGGGATTGATGATTCACTTCCGCCGTCCCAACCAATCCGTTGGTTACCTTGTTATGTGCCAGATTTTCATCTCCATTGGTGGGTCTGTCTTCATCATTGTTGAGCAGCTTGCTATCCTGGCTGCCGCCGACCACCAGCACGTCGCAACTGTCCTTGCTCTGCTGAACGTCGTGGGTACTGTCGGCAATGCTGCTGGTTCTACCATTTGTGCCGCAATCTGGACCAACACTTTCTACAAGGCCCTGGAGACGAGGCTTCCAGAGTCTGTAATGGGAGACATCGATTTAATTTATGAAGATCTTGCCCAGCAGATCTCTTATCCCGTCGGATCCGCCGCGAGACTGGCTATTCAGCAAGCTTATGCCTATTCCCAGACAAGAATGCTTGCTGTTGGCACCGGTCTTATGGGTCTCTGCATCTTCTGGTCTCTCATGATCCGCGATATCGACCTGAAGAAGGTTGCTCAGGTCAAGGGTACCGTTTTCTGAGGTATTTGCCTTCGCCTTTGGAGATACCTTTCGACAACGACACTGTTGATGACTCATTTCCTATTATACCAAAATACGACTGGCTGCCCCAGGCAGTTATCGTCCCGCTTAGCTTTTTGCCACTTATTTAATCATATTCACATAACGATCTGAATGTAGAATGTTATGACTATCCGAACCAATGCTTCTATTCTTGTAATCTGTAGAGCCCTGTTGGTAACGACCTTTTGAGACATTAATAATATCTGCTTTGCAACGTAATACGGTTCGACAGCTAGCTTGGCCATATTATACGAGAGGATCCGATGTTTATTCCACTCTCAACATCATACGCCAAGAATCGCAGGAGCCCGCGCCAAGTTTTTGGCGACCTGCAGCTCGCTTGGTGTTTGTTTTCGTTTGCCGAAAAAACAGCGGTATGGTATGTAATAATGTATTTTGGTACTTTAAATAAGTTACAATAATATACCACTAGTAAGTATAAATGTAATATTTGTATCTAAAATATTGTATCTATTCTCTTCAAACAAATTCTATGGGGCTTGAACAATACATACAAATGAGTATGTTCCGTACCTACCTTGTTAGTCTACACAGCCCAGTGTCATTTGAACAGATCCACGTATGACTAGAGCTCATCCACTCTAAGGTGGAACCAGGGACCAAAAAGATCTGATAACTTTTTTTTTCCAGTTGCGCCTTTGCCGTCTTTGCATGGCATCCCAGTAAACCCCCTTTCCCTTCGGCTCAAACCGCCCTGGTCACATATAGCTGAAGATTTCGATCCACATCATTTCAATTAGCAGGGCAATAATAGCCTGGTAGCTGGGTTCAGAATGATTGATCTCCCGGGAGCATTTCCTCCTATGGAAAAACAAGCCGAGCTTCTACCACTTTGCTGAGTGGGTATGGCCGCGTGCCCCGGCCTAGTCGGGTGGTTCTTGGGTTCATTTTTTCTGTAAACGTTCCGAATGGTATCGAATCTGATAATTTGCCTAATGATCTGATTAGATTGGCCTGCTGGTCTGGGTTCTTCTAGCGTACTGTGGCGCTTTTATCTGATCCGAAGGTCCTTCGGTGGATATTCAGACACATGGCCCGCCAAACGGTAGCCTGTGGTCCCTGTGGATGTTCGGACTTTGCCAAATTCATCTAATGGCACCCCCTACATTATGTCCATTACGTACTTCAAAGAGCAGCAACCTGGTAGCATGGGTTCAACTGCCTGGTAGAAAGAATAGAACCTTGTTGGATTACCTAACACATGATTATTGTCCCTTAGCTTGAATTTCATTGAGTGTCAGGTAGAAGTTGATATAATCCCTAGTGGATATGTCCTGACAAAGACTTGGGATTCAAACCCGCGTTGTTAGCTTAGAAGGCATCGGGAATAAGTATAGTTCTCTACCGATCTACCTCCACAACTCAAGGCATCTTTTGCATTTGTAGTGGCCACCTTCTTTTACCTGGAATGTATCTCTAGCGATGCCTCGCTTGTGACAACATCCGTAATAGGAGACGGGGAATGAGGACGCTGTAAAAACGATAGAACCGTTAGAGGGCACTGTTGTATCTATTTATCTCATAGGAGAGAAAAGAGGAGAGGTATTGATGATTTTTATGTTGGACATATCTTACTATTGATATAGTTTTCTCTCTACCTTGGCTGGAACCAATTCTCACTGACCTAATGATATATTATGTGGTTGTCACACGTGACCTTAAAGCCCTTAAATGATTGATCTCACTATAGAGAGTTAAACACCAATGCATATATCCAGCCACCATATTAGACTATAAGACACTATCCAAGCTTTTTCATGAATAATGACTATGTGTGGGGCGCAAATTTCTATCATTTTTCTCTACTGTGACTTCTAAATTTGGAGTGTTTGGCATGCTGCTATGGGACCGGACGCGAAGCATGATCGCCATAGTGATGTTGGGGAAACGATCGTTAGCTCAATAGAGAGGAAACACAACCAGTTCTCTATCCCAAA